CTGGGAACGGCGGGGTCAGTTTATCTAGTTTCAAGGAAACACTGACCCTAAGGTTGCCCCAGAGGTCCGGGCTGATTTAGGGAACTTTCTCCTCGCCTCCAGGAAAGGGGAATGCACATTGCAAACTGATCCGAGCCGTGCGGGGTTAGTCTTAAAAGCAAGTTGCAGGTTTTAAGACTTTTTCCGCAATCAATTTCACGTCGACCTCTCCCCTTCTCTGCTCCCCCTCGCTGAGGGGGCGACCGGGGAAGAAGAAGGGGGAGGGGAAGAGGAGCGGGAAGTGAGGTGGGAGGGCTATTGGTTTATTCTTTGTCTACTGGATTAACCCGATTATACACCAGGCACCAGCACGAACCGCCTCCCCCACCGCCGAGCCTTGTACGGGAGGAACGGAATGCAGATTCGGGTTTCAAGGACCTTCTGCTCTTGCTGGGATTTGCTTTTGATTGTGTCAATTTGTAGTTTTTCGCTTTCTCAGAATTTTATTTTTTAAGAGCGATTATCTGTAGATAGAGCCTTTTTGAAGATCTTTATTAGTGTTTTGTTTGACCCAGTAGCGGAAGGAAATTCTACAATGTAAGCCCTTTGAGTTAATTCAGTAATACGTGATTACTCGGGGCGACATCATGGGTTTCAGAAACAGGAGCTGTATGACTGTTCCACTGCAGATTTGCTCCTTTGCTTAATTAAAAGAATCGTCGTTCATTTCCCACCCTCCTTTACACCTAGAACATTTCTTAAGAAGCTCCTATTGTCCATGCTGAAGGTGGTCTGTATTTTCCCTCTAAAGTACATATATGTATATTTATATTTATATATAAATAGAAAATACAACACATGCACTGCTCTAACTGCCGTTCACTAAGAAACGTGCCTGCACGTGGGAGTGCCGGTGGAAAATTAAAATGCACACATACACAATCACACACCCCCCTAATATTGCATTCTATCGAGTGACTTACAGAATGCTTTTATTTTACATGCAAGTACCTCCTTGCACGGTCAAAATTCCCGCATAGCACCTGCGGTCTTTCCCCTTGCGGGGCTAGAGTTCTTGGAACACAGTGTTCGGAAAACGTGGTGCTTGATTCCTCCAGCTCTAGCCCACATCCGTTCGCAGCTAACCTGGCACTCGCTGGTCTTCGTCCGATCTTTGCTCTAGAATGTCCCCGGCGTGTTCCCTGCCTCGCTGCGCTCTCGCCCTGCCTTCTCCATGTTTCTCTAGGGCTCTCTTCCTTCGCCGGGGGTTTGGAACTAGAAATGGCAGGGGAAGTGGCATGCGTTATTTCCGGGCGCTGGCCTACGTTCCCCACCCCTCGGTGAGGGTGGACAGGGCTTCGTCGTCCTGCTGCGCGGCGTCCACGGAGCTGCGGGCGCGGGACAGCTGGGCCTCTCCGGCTGCAGCCACTCGCCCGACGCCGGAGTTCACTGAGCCTTGGTGGGCGCAGGAACTGCTGCGCTCACGGACCACGCGGCCACCAGGGGGCGCCCGCCCGGCGCGGGGCTCGGACTGCGTTCCTCCCCGGGACTCGACGCGGGCTGGCGGGATTGCCTTCCCAAGTGTGCATTAGGCCGGTAGCCTTAAAATGAATAAAAAGATATTCACAACATAAACTCCACAGAAGGTCACTTTCCCTACCATCTCCTCGGTTGAAGTACCTCGGTTTGGAAGAACCCCGGCTTTTACCAAGGGGAAGGAGCTGGAGGTCAAAGCCAGGTTGTGCAAGGCTAGTCGGGAACGTGCTGCCGGTTCCAGCACAGCAGGTGAAAGAAACGCCTTCTCTTCGCCTCCTCAACCCCCAGCACCCGATGGCGTCTTTTTAGGAGATACTTGTGCCCATTCTGTTCTCCCAGCTCTGCAGGAGCTTTGCGAAGACACGTGGTTAAGGATCAAAGCATAAAATGGAATTTAAACCAGGAACTTCCCTCTGGTTAGAGCTCCTTATGTTTTCATTGAGTCAATAGGGAAGAATCTAAGAGTTTGCATTTACCTTCTATGAGCTAGAAGGAATCCCATGTTATCTGGCTCTTCCTTTCTCTCCCCGCAACTTCCAGTTTGCTTGCCGGGAAAACATTTAACCTGTAACAAGGATAGGGTAAACACAAGAATCTGTTGGATTCTTTATAATTTACTCCTTAATCTTTATTTTCTTTAGTGCAATTATTATTTTTCAGACAGTGAAGTACATAAAGTCACCATATTGTGCCTCCAACGTTTACTTAGCAAACTATAATCCAAAAGAGTAATTATGTTTATTGTGTATGGTGGCGCGTACTCTAAGATGTTTAGTGCAGCTACTGTAATATGTTCCCAAATTGATTCTAATGTTTCATTCCAAAATTATAACTGAGATTAATTTTAGTAGATACTCCAGAATTATGATAAGAGTGTTAAGCAAAACTTCATAATCAAGCCCATTTTCAAATGTGTCATAGAAAGTTCTGGAGAACTTTTGATGCATGAGCAGATGTTACCATTTGCCTAATGCTGAAAAATACAGAATCCATGGGAATTCCTGCTGTACCAATACTCACCTCCAAGTTCCTGGGACTTAGGAAGTAATATACTTTCCTAGTTCTAGCCATTGAATGGGACTCTGTGTCATACACTTGGGATTGGGATCTCTCATCTCTGGCTTCATTTGGTTTTCCATATTCATTTTATAACTACAATCTTCCTCGGTATTATTGTTATTATTTTTAATGAGGCAGTATACAAGCATTTGTGAATTTTTCTTCTTCCAATCTTTGGTAGAAGACATCGATGGAGACAGTGTAAACATGCTTCTTTGCTCGTGGGGCAAGTTTAAGTCAGATATGTTTAAGACTGCACTTGCCTCTCTTGCCCCCTGTGCTAAGCTTCGGATTTATGTCCTAGTAATGGAAGAATGTAATTTTATTATTTTTAAAAATTTTTATTGGTGGCTGACTGGTAAGGGGATCCAAGCCCCTAACCTAGGTATAACAACACTGTGTGCTAACCAACTGAGCTAACTGGCCATCCCTTGAAGGAATGTAACTTTAAACAACTCTAGTTCAAGTTTCTTTCTGAGGTTGATCAAACTACTTGGCTTTACTGGGTTTAGTCCTAGTTTTGATAAGTGAAAAGAAATCTTGCAATGATATGATGCATTCTTGAGACAAAAAAGAATTAATAGCTATTTGTTTATTTCCTTCTGTTACCAAGACAATCTGTTCACGTATTCACAGTGCACAGAAAACAACAGTGTATGCTGCTTCCAGGAATAACAGTTTGGGGATTTCAACCGTTATTTTCTCTTTAAGGCCCAATTGTAAAATTAATTTATGCATGGACTCTGCAGGGACTTTCCTGAGGCAAAGGGCTTTGCAATCACGGACCTTTTCATTTGGATGCGATGACTGTTGTCATTTCACTTTTTGAATTGCATTGTTTCCCCAAATTCTGTTGATATTTCCTCTAGGAGGGAACTGGGAGTGGCTGTAACAAAAGATACAAAGGAATTCAAAATAGACCACTTGAGTTCTTATCTAAATTGCTTGGAGGACTGGGAACAGTTTATCTCTGGATCTAACTTTCTTTGGAGATGTCCTTTATCCCTAACTAAACTGGGAAAAAGATCTGGGGTAAAAGGAGTGGTCTTGATGAGGCCACCTTGAGCTGGAGGCTCCTGCCAGTCTGGTCTTTTTCAGAGATCTTATATTCAACTGCTGGTTTCTATTGGTTAATTAATGAATATTCCTTTCTAGATCATGCACATTGTTACTACAATTTATGCAAAGTCGACCAAAGTTCTGTAACAAGAAGGATGCAGAATTTCTGTGCTGGCCAATGTGACTTTTCTCATTATTTTTCCAGCATATTTGTCCCTTGACCAGAAAATCAAACTTCTTCCTTTGTAGGACTGATGTGTGCAGAGAAAATCTAATCAGTGAGGACACTGCATTCTTGCTTTGCCTTTCCTGAATAGCCCTATGTTTATTTGTTTTTCTGTTTGCTTTTAACATTTGATCCCTTTTGTTCTGGAA